TACTGTGAAACAAAGTGTCATTCTGGTTTGTCTGTCTCTTTGCCTGTCTTTCCTTTCATTTTTCTTTTCTTTGCTCATCTTATTTCTTCTTCTACTTCACATGCTCATGCTCTTAGTCAATAGTTCTGTGACAATATATATAGGGTGAAACTCCGACGAAACAGTTTGTCACAGCCCCTCGTTTGTTGTCCTCTTCTCTCTCTCTGCCTACGGTTTACCGGGCAGTTCTGTTTGACGATATATATATACTCAAACTTGTAGTACGAACAACGCGACGACGGTTATTGACGTTAGGCGTAGCGGGTACTTGGTCCGAAGTTGTTGCTTCTATTCAGCGGGCAACGCCCGCTTGGCGAGCTCGCTTGCTTCAGTGGCTGTATACAAATGTTTCTAATGCTGACATGACGTTGGACGTCCGTGAACTTGAATGTCTTATTCGACGATTTCAACATGTCCGACAGCGATATCCTGCCCATTCACGTGACACCTTCGGAAACTTTATAAGGATTTTGCATATGCAGGAGATCCTGAAGGCCACTAAGCTACACCATGTGTTGCATTCACCGGATGTTTGTGCATTACACCCCGACCCTCAGGCAGCCAGCACTATGCATCTGTGACAAACTTGTACCCCCAACGAGGGTGCAATTTTGTAATTTCACGGAAGTTGCCTTGAGTGTCACTCCCGGCCTGCACTTACCTGCTGATGCTGATTGTCCTTGTCGTCGGGCCTTTCCTAACTGCACCGATCTGGTTGATGACCATGTTGTTTCGGCCAACTATGATCTGATTCCGGATGCTAATCTCCATCGCCTGTTTTATGAGGTCTCTAAATATCGGCTGAATGGAGTAGTGGGGGATATGCTTGAAGCGCTGGCTGTTGGTATTGATGAGTATATTGCTGCGTATCTTCGTCCAACAGCACGACAATCCTGCGCAGCTACCCTGGCTCCACAACTGGCTCTTTGGCGTGCTGCAGTTTTGCATCACTGTGAGTGCAATATGGCTGCCGCGTCACCTTTGCGACAGCCTCGCTCCTTGCGACACGCACATACGGCCCTGCGTCAGCTTCAAGAATCCTTTGCGATTGTTCCTGTGGATAAAACATCACATAATCTGGCTATTTGTTGTAAAAATTGGTATCGTTTTAATATTTCTACTCATCTTGATAGTCCTACGTATTCTCGGCCCGCCGAAACAGCGGCCGATATTCTGAATAGCCATGCACTTTGGAACAATCACTGGAATTATCCTCATGCTGACACATCTTTATTGCGCACTTAAGGCCCATAAGTCTCCTCCCACACTTCGTACTATTCTTGGTATCACTGCCCGAAACAATCTTTCTTCTTCCTCTTCCCATACGGCCCGGCGAAGTGACCTACACCCTTCCCAACGAGTCCAGCGTTTGCATCACCGACCGCCTCACAAGCCTGTGGCTAGTACAACACCTACATCGGCTCGTTTGAGTGCGGCGCTTCAAGGTGTCATCCGTACTCTTCGTGAAAAGGATAATCAACTCTTCCAATCGGAAGGTATTCAACGATGCTGAGCAGTGACGAGGTCATGCTTGACCTTAAAAAGAATAAAGCTTCTCTCCGCGGTCTGGCCCCTCATACGGTCGATTTCACTACTATGTATACTAATCTTTCTCATCAACGGATTCTTGACGGTGTTGCTAATGCCGTTGATGAGGCACATGCCTATGCTCTTGCGCAGGCACGACAGCACACACGGACACGTTCATCCACTGTTGCTCTTCGTATGGTGGTCTGTGGACCGCGTGCAGGGGAGTGGACTACGGATACGGGACCTGACACTCTTTCTGTGTCTGACATTCTTCAACATCTTTGGTTTATTGTTACTAATACATATCTATATACAGCGGATGGCCTTGTTCGCCATCAAGACGTTGGAATTCCAATGGGTACAAATGCTGGTCCTGAGATTGCTAACCTTACACGCTATTGGGATGAGGCGCAGTACGTGGACAACCTGCAGCGTTCAGATCCCTCTGCAGCCCGTCGATATGTTTTCACTTATCGGTTCATTGATGATGTGCTTACCTTTGATTGTCTGCCACCATCGCCAGCCTATTATGGTCTTGAATGGAAAGAGACCACTGCGGCTGATGGCTCGTGCACCTTTTTAGGTGCGAAACTGCAGACACGGGCTGGCGGATCTCTCCGATTGAGTGTGTTTGATAAGACTGTTGCATGGGATTTTCCTGTTATACGATATCCTAGTGCAACGTTGAACATTCCATCTCATCAGCCTGCAGGTGTGTTCACCGGTCAGCTTACACGATTTGAGCAGATTTGTGACAATTGGTGTGATTTCAGAACTGCGGCAGCCATGCTTGTCCGCCGTTTGCTTTCTCGTGGCCATGCTCCATCCACATTAGCCCGTGGATGGACTTGTTACATTCGTGCTCGCCAACGATGACACCCTGTACATGTAACTCGTCTTACACAGTGGTTTCGACGTATGCTTCGCTGGTCCGTGCATCGTCCTCTTCCATCTTCTCCTCCCCTGGCCTTCCTCGCTCCTCCTCCCTCTTCCTCCCCTCCTCTCCCTTCCTCTTTTCCATCTTCTCATCCTCCTTCCCCTCCCCCTCCCCCTCCTTGCCCATCTTCTCCTTCCCTCCCTCCCCCCTCCTCTCC